TAATCACTCTGATTTTTCCACTTATTTTCTATTTTATGCCCCAGGAATCTGATTACGTTGTTAAAGCTGTGCCTCTTTCTTAGGAGCTGGACAGAGTGTGGGTTTTTGCCTTTCCGAATCCGCTGTCTGAAGAGACCCACATGACTTTAGCCACACAGCATTATCTGTCCAACAAATGAAGCCACCTGACATGATTCTGCGAGTAGATGCTCCCGTTATATACGATGGGGACGGTTTGATGAGCAGAGTGACAGTGTTAGGGCTCCTAGATCACAGGCTCCATCCTTAGCTCAGCTTGCTTGCTCGCTCCCCCTCCCTTCCTTCCCTCTTTCCCTCCCTCTGTCCCTCCCTCCCTGCCTGCCTTCCTTCTTTCCTTCCTTTCTCTCTTCCTCCCTCCTTCCTTCCTCTCTTCCTCCCCTCTGCCTCCCTCCTTCCTTCCTCTCTTCCTCCCCTCTGCCTCCCTCCCTCCTTCTTCTCTTCCTCCCTTCTCCTTTCCTCCCTCCCTTTCTCTCTCCCTCCCTCCCTTCCTTTCTGTGCTATGGGTGGAACCCAGTACCTTGAGCATGCTAGCTGGTGCTCTACCATCGAGCTATATAAACCCAACTCTTGATTTTTGAGACACACCCTTAATATGTATTTCAGGCTGGCATCAAACTGGTGACTCTCCTGCTTCAAGCTCCTAAGTGCCAGGACTATAGGTGTGTACAGCCACACCCAGTAGCTCCACCTCCCTGAGTTACAGCCTCCGTGTGCACTGAGGCCAACTGGCTGATCCTAGAATGGCTTTAAGACACAGTAGCTCTTTCGCTGGCCTGAGGTGTTTTCCAGACACTCCCTTCCCTCCTCCAGAACTAAAGCACCCACAACTCCTTGTCTCTGTTGTGAATACGGTTTGCTCTCCAACACTCTAAAGAGGAGTTACAAAAGGATTTCTGGTGTGTTTGTTGTTTGGGTTTTTTTTGTTTTTGTTTTTGTTTTAGCCATCAAAGCCTGAGTCCCTTTAAAGAACAGTGCAGGGTCACTGTATCAGGTCTGGTCACTGACTGATGCCACTCTTTGGCACTGGGCATATGGACACAGCAGAATGGCATTGAACTTGGCTGTTTAGCTTCTACTCCCAGCTTTGTCTTCACTGTGTGGCCTGGGAAACGTGCCAAACACTCTGAGCCTCAAAGGGCGTTAATGTATTCTTAACCAAGACCAAATAACAAAGGACCCCCGAGCCCTCTCTCAGTAGGAGTATGTGGCAGGCCCTCAGGAAACATAAGTACCTCTGAACCACCACAGCTTCCACTCTTCATCGGAATTCACTTATTCATCCATTCACTCATTCCGCAACCCTAGCAGGAGAGCCTCTGACTAGATACAAAAATGAGCGCTGAAGGAACGAATGGCATTTGATAGGCTGTCAGGTGGGGAGCTGAATGGCATTCTGAGTTGAGTGAATGTGTGGAGTGGGTGGGGTGAGGAGGTAAATGGAGTGAGTTTCTCAGTAGGTGGGAAGATGGAATGGATGTGTGTATGTATTGAATGGGTGGGTGGATGGATGGATGGAGTCAGTAGGTGGGTGAATGAGTAGATGGGTGGTAGAGATATATTTATAATATATATCTATACATATATATATACTATATATATGTATACACATATATTTGTTGGTCATATAGAGTCATCTCTTACCAAATGCAGAAATTCTTTCGAAACACCTCTGAAAGCCTTTAGCTCCCTGCCTTCTTATCTGCAACAGCTTACAAGGTATTTAATTAACAAGCGCCACTGTCAACCCTACTTTCCAAGGTCTCGGTGTGATTGTGTAGTCTACGTTAGTGGTTGAGGGCATGGTCTTCAAGACCTGTCTTTGCATCTCAGCATTAACTAATTAATGCTGCGTGACCTTGAACAAATCCCTTGGCCTCTCTAAGCTGTGGGTTTTCCTCTGAAGAATGGCGGTAATAACAGCCTTGCAGGTTGTCAGGAAGATTAATGAAATAATGAGATCAAGCCCAGACCACTGCTCCAAGCAGGTATTGTTAATGGACAGAGCTGGTATGTTCCCGCTTGAAGCTTTTGTTCTTCACAAAGCACCTGCTGTGTGTGTGTTAGGTTTTACCTGAGTGTTATGTGTCTGATGGTAAATGAGATGGATATAGCCCCTCATCTCTCGGACCTTATGCTCTAGCAGAATGCTCAGATAATAAACAAGCAAACACATAAACAACTTCAGATGGTGTTAAATGATGTGCAGAAAATTGGAACAGGTGAAGGGAGAGATGGAGAGTGAAGGTAATCTTTTATTGGACTTGTGCTGGTGACAAGAAGGTGTGACCATGCTAAACCCAAGGGGGAGGGTGTCTGGGGACCAGGATTCACTATCAGATTGCACCAAGATCCAGGAGCTTGTGCAGGTAAAAAGTAAGAAAGGGAGGGGCAAGCTGGCTGGGCAGGTACTCAAAACAGAGGTCAGAGGATTTGCTGTGTGGAGCTGTGAAAGCCACACAGTGTGGTTTGGACATTACTCTTGTTGGTAAGGGGGTTTGGTTTGGTTTGGTTTGGTGGTTTTGCCAATCATAAGAAGAGAGAAATGATTTAAGATATATAAGTTTTTCTGTGTAACCTAGGCTGGCCTAAAACTTGTGATCCTTCTGCCTCAACCTCCTAAATACTGAGATTACAGGTGTGTGTCAGCCACCCTGGGTTTGGACATTCTTCACACTAATCTTGTCCTCTAGAAAGAGCCTGCATCTGACTGCCACTAAACTTTCTGATCACAGCCCACACAGTCCCACTCCCAAAGCTACTACTGATGAGGTTGAACATTCTGAATTCTCAACAACCTTAGCTGTCCCTCAGGGACACCTGAAACCACAGCGGTGTCCTGGGCCCCACAAACCTAGACCCTGCCAGGAATCCATTTAAACTAGAAGACATGGTCATCATAGGGAAAGCCAGACAGAACTGAGTCAGATTTAGGAGGCTGTTTCTCACTGGCCTTGGCCCCAGAAACAGGGAGTTTCTGAGGCTGATTTGGGGGGAAAAGTGTCTGGAACCCTTTATCCAAGTGGATTGGGTATGGGATCTGGCTCTCATAAAGTAACAGATGATAATCTATGACAGTGACAGAACTCCAGTTTGATTCTGGAGCTCAATGTGGGTCATTGAGATTTAGATACCAGTCATATTTATATTGGTTTTCTTCTAGCAACTTCTCTCCATCCTCCAGTATGATGTGTAGCAAGTACCTCTTTATCTGATAGTTCCAACAAAACTAGGGTATTTTTGTCCCCTTGGCATCCATCTAAACAGTGTTACACCAAGGGAGTGCCGAGTTCTGGCTGGCCAGTCCTGAGCTACAGGCCACCTCTGGATTGATAATCCCGATGACGCTGCCTGCCTCTGCAGACTGAGCATGAATAAGAAGAGCCACAGAGAGTGTCGGCGAAAGTGCTGAGGAAAGGACTCTGTTAGTAAGGTACTTAGAGTACAGACCTGGAGACCCAAGGTCAGATCCTCTGCACCTCTGTAATGAAGCCAGTCCTGCAATCCCAGTGCCAAGGAGGCAGAGGCAAGAGGATCCTTGAGGCTTGCTGGCCAGCTGGTCCTGCCAAATCAGTGCTCCAGGTTCAATGAGACACTCTCTTTTAAAAAGATATGGTTAAGAGCAATTAAGAAAGACACCCAACATTAACCTCTGGCCTCCACATACACACACATGTACACATGCACATACACACACAGACTGAGAGAGATAGAGAGACAGAGAGAGAGAGACAGAAACAAAGAGGGGGAAACAGGTACCAGATACACAGTATCAGATACGGTTTGCTGCTAGACAGAATCACTCTTCTGATTACCAATACTGTTTTGTACACTTGAAACTTTGTCAAAAGGTCAGAGTTCATGTGACTGTCTTATCACACCTGAACATGTTGACCACTGTTTGGGGAAGAAAGGAAAACTCTTCTAGACAGACAAAGGCATGTTCACCCCAGATTTCCTCTGCAGTTTGTCTTTGGCAACCCTCATCCCTGCCTTGTTTGGTAGCTTATCTTAGTTAGGGTTACTGTCCCTGAGGTGAAACACCATGACTAAAGCAATTTGGGGAGGAAAGGGTTTACTTGGCTTATGCTTCCATCTTACTGTTCATCATCGAAGGAAATCAGGGCAGGAACTCAAACAGGGAAGGAACTTGGAAGCAGGAGCTGATGCAGAGGCCATGGAGGGATGCTGTTACTGGTTTGCTCCTTGTGGCCTGCCCATCTGGTTTCCTTATAGAACCACAGGACCACCAGTACAGGGGTGGCACTATCCACAATGCTCTGGGCCGTCCCCTATCAATAACTAATTAAGAAAATGTCAAGAACAATGGCAATGGGTTTTTGATCCTACTGCACGTACTGGCTTTGTGGGAGCCTAGGCAGTTTGGATGCTCACCTTACTAGATCTGGATGGAGGTGGGTGGTCCTCGGACTTCCCACAGGGCAGGGAACCCTGATTGCTCTTCGGGCTGACGAGGGAGGGGGACTTGATGGGGGAGGGGGAGGGAAATGGGAGGCAGTGGCGGGAGGAGGCAGAAATCTTTAATAAATTAATTAATTTAAAAAAACCTCAATCAGTAAACACACACACACAAAAAGAAAATGTCCTACAGACTTGCCTAATGCCCAGTCTTATGGAGGCATTTTTCTCAATTGAGATTCCCTCCTCAGATGACTTTAGCATGTGTCAAGTTGACAGTACTGCCCAGCACAGAGCTGAATGTATGTGTCTGCCTCTTCAAACCCCTGCAGGTTAGAGAATGTTATAAGCAGCACAGTCTCTTGCTACCTTGTATCTGGACAGCATAAGGACCTAAAGTTTGCTTGGTTCATCTGAATCAAGCTCTAGAATTCAGCGTGGATGCTGTGCTTCTGTCCCCCGGGGGCAGCAGAGGAGACAGTCCCAGCTTCCCAAAGGGCAGGCCACCCTCAAGCTCATGTCTATGGTCTTCTGGTTTTCCCCAGGCAAAGCCAACAAGAATGTCCAGTGGGATGAGGACACTGTGGAGTACATGCCCACCAACCCGGTCAGAATCGCCTTTGTCCTGGTGGTCCATGGCCGTGCTTCTCGGCAGCTACAGCGCATGTTCAAGGCCATCTACCACAAAGACCACTTCTACTACATCCACGTGGATAAGGTGAGGAGCTCATAGCTCAAAGCTCTGTGCTGGGCTTCCTCTGCAGTCTGTCTGTCTATCTATCTCTGAAACTTTCTCCCATCTCACAAGTCCAGGCTAAGGTCTAGAGATGGAACCAGTAGCAAATGATCCTGAAGTGTGTGTGTGTGTGTGTGTGTGTGTGTGTGCGCTGCTAGTTTTAGAATATTTAACTGTGGCTCTCAGCTTTTCCTACAAACATTGTTTCTCTGGTTGTTTGTCTTTTTTATTCTTCCTCGACACATGATAATTACACATATTTATGGGGTACAATTTGATATGTTGGTATATGTATACACAGCGAGCCAGTTCGTTCAGGAAATTAGCATATCCATAGCTTTAAATGTTTCTCATTTCTTTGTGATTGGATCGTTCAAGATCCTCCCATGAACTTTTTTTTGACATGCTCTACATTACTGTTAGCGTTTGTCTCCCTCCTACGTATCACATACAAGAATTTCTTCTCTGAGACTCACTGGGCTGCTTTTCACCTCTTCCTCTCCCTATCTGGTTGGTACCCACTGCCTGCCTTCACAGACCTGTAAAACTAGCATCCCAGGACTGGGCTCACTTTTCCTAGAAAAGTCCAGGTTAGTTGAGATAGTCTTTTGGACCATGTGCTAATCGGTGCTGCCCTGGTCTGATTGCAGCTGCAGAACACGGACAATAAATGGGTGTGGTTGTATGCCAGTAAAATCTAACTGCCAAGACCCACACTTGACTTGCTGACCCTGGTGCCATCTTTCCCTAGAAGTCTCTGTGTCTCTGTTAATCTGTTGATGTCACAAGATGTGTGCAGATCTAGAACCCTGGAACTCATAAGACAGAGGCAGGAAAATTGCTCTGAGATCAAGGTCAGCCTCAGATGAGACCCTGTTTTCATAGAAAACCACACATGGAGGTTGTAGAACACTCAACGGTGGTAGAACACTCAACTAAGTACAAGGTCCAGTTATAGCTTCTAGCCTCAATAAAACTAAAGAGGCAAGAGGGCTATTTTCATCCTCCAGATGTGTTTCTTCATCGGCCTGTGAAACAGTAAGGGAGGGGGGTGATCCTGAAGAACAGCACATGTAAACTCTACCTCCTACCTGCAAAGACTCACCAGATTTAGTTTTTGAGCTTGGTACCCTCAGATAGCATGCAGGAGTCAACCCTTATCATGTGGCGTTCCGGGCCCCACAAGCTCGAGGCCGCTGGTTGACTAGCTCAACAATGGGCCTGAGAATCTGAATTTCAGTAGGCGATGAAAAACTCGTGTGAATTGAATGTTTGACTATTGACGCAGAAAGATGCCACAGGCTGACATCAACAGCAGCCGGTGTGATCAGACACACCAACCACAGGAGGAGCAGGGCGACCGGGATGTCCGTGGGCTGATGTTTTCTGGGCTGTTTACTGTTGCCTTTTCCTTTTCTCTCCTGGGGAAAGCGTTCCAATTACTTGCACCGGCAAGTGCTCCAGTTCTCCAGGCAGTACGACAATGTCCGAGTCACCTCCTGGAGAATGGCCACCATCTGGGGCGGGGCCAGCCTCCTGTCCACCTACCTGCAGAGCATGCGGGATCTCCTGGAGATGACCGACTGGCCCTGGGACTTCTTCATCAACCTCAGTGCTGCCGACTACCCCATCAGGTGAGGCCGTCAACAGCTCCCAGGCAGCTGGTTCCAGGGTCCTGCTTCCCTTCCCTCCCTATGTAACAACAGTGGGGACACAAGAAAGTACGGGCAGTCAGCCTCCTGTCTGGAGAAGCATCCTGCCTCGTGAGATGAACCGTGGTTTTCCTACAGTATCACCCAACATTGTTTTCAGAAAGCAGAGAGCAGAAATGGGAGAGAATCGTGTTCCTAATTTTACAAAAATGGCCAGCTCTAGTGTGGGCAAGAGGAAGCTGGGTTTGGAAGAGCTGTAACAGATAGTAAGGAATAGAGTAACAAGATACGAAGTCAGAGAGTTAGAGCTAGCTTTTGTCATGTATCTGTTACTCCGAGTCAGATGAATGCATGTTTTGAGCAGAAAAAGGGCAGATATGACCAGTTGAAGTCAAAGCAAGCTAATAGAAGGGAGGCTGCTTACAACAGCCCAGGCTAGGTCACAGATAAGCGAGAAAGACCCTGGAATGTTTACTCTAGAGCAAGATGTGTTGGCAAGCAGGGATGGAGCACAGAAGAGCATGGAAGAACGTTCTAGACCCAGATTTGTGGGCCATGCACTATTGACATTTGGTCTTTCTGATTTGTTGCTATGAGGCTTCCCCTTGCAATGTCAGGCATTTATCAGTGTCTCTGGTCTCCACCTCCAAGCTGCCAATAGCATGCTGTGCCCATTTATGTCCTTCTTACACAGTGTCTGAAGAGACTGTCGATGTCACCGGCGGTTGAGAGCCATCGTTTCTTTATAAGAGAAAATATAATGGGCAAATATATCGATCAAAAATGAACTTTGTGCATTTTGAGAAATCTGAAAAATGGGTGAAGTTTAGTAAACAATAGCTGAAGGAAAGGTGACTCTAGACACTAGGCAAGGGGTAGCCAGAACATTCCCTTGCCATCTTCCATTAGAGGATTTAATTCAGAAATTTCTTGAAAAGTCTATGTAGAGCAGATATTGTGGGGGGTCATTTCTTGAGCCCTTGTGGGGAAGCCAGCAGATAAATGGTCAGACTGAGGTCCACTGTCATGCACTAAAGACTTGAAAAAGCAAGTATTAAAACTGGTTCTGTCTAAGTACATGTTCTTTCTGCTTGCAATTAACTTCTTGGGAGATCCAGGATCCTGGACTGTCTGTAGAGTTGCAAGCAAGAAGGAAACAGCCAGGTAGGCACAGCCACTGCTGCCCCCTAGAAATGCTGCATTGCATTGATTACAGTCCCAACTGTCGCCATGACCCCTTACCCTGAAGGGTCAGGATCACACAGTATGCAGGCTTAGACACTCACCAGACTGCTCAGCATGGGAGTCTGAGATCAGTCATGGAAGCAGCGGCAGATTCCCGGGAATATAAATCCATGCATGTGGCACCAGGAGGGAATAACAGACCACAGCAGAGTACCAGGCCTGTGCAAGGGGCTCAGTGCATTTCAGCTGCTGGCATCTAAGTTAACGGCCGAGGTTGCATCTTTTATCTTTGCAAGGGTCCTAATTATCGTTTCTCAGACCATGTGCTGAAGGTGTGTTCTTTGTGGCTTCTTTAGCTTTACAGCGCGTTGTTTGACTCTGTGCAGGCTTATTCTCCCTCTCCCTCTCTCTCCCAGGTCATTGCCAGGGTGCACACCCTCCCCCCCCCCCTTAGCTCTACACTCTATCCTGTCAGCCTCATGGCCAGAGGCACCTCATGCTTTGGGGCTCTGCTGTTTCCTCTTGCTGTTGCTTCTACGAAGTCGCCCCACACAAAAACATACGGATTTTGCAGATGAATGGTTTCATCCCGGGAAACTGATAGGTTTTTTCTTCCCATCTGCTGTCCCATCTGTAGCTTCTGAAATGACTCCTTCCATCCCAGGAAGAATAAGAAAGCTAAGAGGACAGTGGGAGTGCCCACTTCAGACTTTTCCAAGAGGCTTTAAGGACTTGGGGAGTCTTCTGGGACAGAAGTAACCCAAGATATCCACTCTGAACACCCACCCACCATTACTGGGAGTGAAGACTCTCTTCTGGTAATAAAGACTCACTGGCTTACTGCATCATAGACATGTCTGTTCCTAGACACAGGTAGCCATGTGAATTGGTGCATACGACTTGAATTTTATACATCTCTGCTTTACCCTTTAGAGTGAGCACAATAGCAGTACCTCTTGCAAGGGGTTGTTGGGAGACGAAAATGAAAAATGATACATCATAAGCATCACGCGAAAGCTGATGGATAGCAAGTGCCGGGTAGATACAGGCTGGTCCCAGCCACGGGGCGATGTACGCCAGCACAAGCAAGGCTTCACACTCCCCCTCCCTTCAAAATATTTCCCCTTTCCCTCTGGTGGAGTGAAAAGCCAAGCAACTATTTCTTGACTCCCATTCTGTCTCAAGGTGTGAAAAGCAGAGTGAGTCTGTGAACGGTGTTTCAAGAGAACACAAGACACAATTTGTGTGTGAAGGAGATTCCTGTGTGGGTAATGGGCAGGCCAAGTATGCCCAAAGACTCCATGCCTTCCTGCCCTGCTGTTTGATGTGGTGCGGCACTGTGCAGACTCTGGCTGAAGCTAGTTAAATGCCAACACATGGTGGGTCGTAAATGCTTCCAAGTTCGAGGTCTTGAATCATCAAAAAGCATGTTAATTGCATTTTTTCATTGCCTGCATAGCAAGGAAGTAACTTTTGACTGGTCACGTGTACACACGGATTAAACCATGAATATTTCTTTTTTTTTTTAATTTATTTATTTATTTATTTATTAAAGATTTCTGTCTCTTCCCCACCGCCGCCTCCCCTTTCCCTCCCCCTCCCCCAATCAAGTCCCCTTCCCTCGTCAGCCCAAAAAGCAATCAGGGTTCTCTGCCCTGTGGGAAGACCAAGGACCACCCACCTCCATCCTTGTTTTGTTTGGGCCTGCACAGAGACATCCATCCTTGGGACCTTTGCTTTGAAGCAAACAGAGAAGGGTTGAATATGTCCACAGCCCCTCTCTCTGTGGTGTGTGTGTGTATGTGTGTGTGTGTGTGTGTGTGTGTGTAGCAGAAGCTGTTGCCTAGGGGAAACAATATTCACATATTTCAAGCTAAACCCAGCATCTGCCTTTCTTCCTCTTAGGGACATGCGGCCATAAAAACATAACACGTGAGACCCACTGTGTAAACACATAAGTTATGTTAATCACAGACTCAAATCTGTGTCTTAGGAAAGTACCAGTGTTGGGGACTGCAGAGTTGAAGAAGTTTGAAAATACGAGTAGATGAGACAGGAAACAGGTGGCCAGGCTCTCCACAGTCTCCCCAAACCAGTGTTTGTATGAGACCTACAATTCAAGTATCTCCTGCAAACCTACTATGTACCAAATCCTCTACTGAGGATCTTAACACATGGTTTGTTTGAATTCCCATCTTATAAAGGAGAGATATGTAAGAAGCCAGTGGGCTTCACAGGCCTACTGAGAGTCATAGCCTTGACAAGACCCAGAGAAGAACTGAGGTACCTGAGGGCTGGACATCAGTGTAGACACTCAGATTCAGGGCTCAGTTGCTCCTATATCGTCATCCCTTTCATCAGTTCGGTGGCTCTAATTGGTTGAAGGAATCCCTACAGCTGACACCAAGAGACAGCTTTGCAGGTGCTGATCTTCCGACAACGACAACGTTGTGGGCAGGGCGGGGATCTACCCAGTGACCTTTGTTCTTGCTCCTGACTCTGCAGAACAGGACAGCTGTATGCGGAAGTTCTGGTTACCTGGGGGCAGATGCAGAGTTACAAGTGGAAATTGGAGACCTGGGCTTGAGATCCGAGCTTATTTTATTTTCTTTTGTTATCTTACTACTCAACCCCTTATGATAGCAATTCAGGGGTGTCTTGGGGAGGGAAGGGTATGAGCCAGCCTGGTGAGACCAGGGGAGAGAACGCTCTGTATCCATGAATGAACTCACAAGATGGGCTCCCTTCTGACAAACCCGGAGGCTTCACAGGTCTACTGTAAGTCAAAGACTTGACAAAACCCAGTCAATGTCTTGTGATCTTCTGTGAGTGGATCACAAAGACTGGGTCCAAACAGAGGAGCCAGCAGGTCCGTGCTTTGAGCTACCTACTGGTCTTTTAGTGTCTTGGCGTTTACACTGGGAAACTTTTGGAGAAGAGACCCTTTGAGAAAGGGTCTGATCTTTGAGATCCATCTTTGAGAAATTGTGTTGGCGAATCTGGGAGAAGAGATGGAAGGGACTAATGGAGGTGGGGAGACCGTGGATGAGGCCATGGCTTCTGCTGCTCCCAGAACCATGGCTACAGAATTGCTGTCAACGTCCACATAGAAGCAAGCTTCCAGAAGCCATATGAGCTTCCAGAATCCACACAGCCATTTAGCCTTACAGTCACACACAGCCAAGCAGCTCCCTTCTGTTTGGGGACTGAGAGTCCCAACCTGAACAGACAACCTGCTTCAGGAGACTCACAGAGCATTTCAATGGGAGATAGAGCAAAGAACAGAGCAGCCCAGTGGCCTGAGACAAGAGTTTGGTACAGCAGGTTAGAAGAGAAGCTTGTGAGTCAGACAGGTCACAGCCTGCGGACTTAAGGAGAAAGGAGTTTGGATGAAAGCATCTCGCCTTGGTTTCCTTGTCTGTTTTGTAAACGTGGCAAAACGTGTAACATGAAACTTACCATCTCTGCCATTTTTATGGATGCAGATGAGTGGTACTGAGTGTGTTCATATTGGGTAATCATCATACCCATCAGTCCCCAAGGACTGTCTTGACCTTGTAAAAATAACTTCCTTCTCCCTCCTCCCTCTGGTCCTTGGCAGCCACAACTGACCCATCCCCATAAGTTTGTTAATTCTATGGACCTCTTGTAAGGGAAGTCATGCAGTGATTGGTTTGTGGCTGTCTTATTTCACTTAGCATAAAGTCATGGGAGTGTGTGTCAGAATGGCCTTCCTTTAAAAGCTGGGTAATGTTCACTTGTATGACCACATGGAATGATTCTAACTTTTGACTGTT